AACCCAGGATGAAAGCGTCCAGCACCTCGTGTCTGCTCCTCCCCGGGGCCGCCTGCGTACCGGGGCCGGTGGCACCCAGGCGATCGTAGCCGGCCCCCTCCTCCAGGGCCCATATGACCTCTTTGCTGGGGACCACCGCCTTGCGCTGTGGCCGGGTGACCGTGTCCGTGAGCGCCTCTTCCAACGAGCTCTTCTTGGACTTGAGGCGATGGAGCTCGTCTATCTTCAGCAACCCGAAGGTCTTGGAAAACCATTTGAGGGTGTTCCACACCTGCCGTAGCTTGCACGGGGTGACGTCCTCTTCGGCAAGCTGGTTAAGGAGAGAGCGGACATGTCGTTCCTGCCATGGAATCACTGTGAAGCCTCTCTTCCGGAGACTCTCGTAGACCAGGCAATGTTGCCTGAGTGTCCGGAACCTACTGTCCCCCAGGAGGTCCAATGCCTCCTTGCGGAAGTCTTCTCCAGGATGTCCTGCATGTATGCAATGTGCTCCGCAAACGGGGCGAAGTGGGCAAGGAGCCGTTCCGCCCATTTCCCGCGCATATGGAGTTCCATCGCTCGCTGGGTCGTGGGCTCCATTTCCCTTATTTTGCCCGGGCGCCAGTGCCTCCACTTCAGAAGCTCCGGTTGTTGGAGTGGGGGTGGGTCATCTCGTGAGAACCACCTCAATTGGTCCTGGCGGTCCCATTCATTCTCCAGCGGGGAAAAGTTCTCGCTCGGCTTGCCATCCGCCGTCGCCATCCCACAGGTCGGCCAGGTCCGCCGCGGACAGAGGCTGGGGAAGCCTGCCCGCCGCCGCCACCAGGCCGTTGAAGTAGTCCGTCGGGACCACTTGGTCGTCTTGCCCTACCGGAATGCCCGAGAGTTCCAGGAGCTGGGCGAAGCGGATTGCCGGCTCCCCACCCAGCTTCCTCCCCTCCTCCTCCGTGCCATGGCGCAGGCGCATCAGGACCAACAGCTCCCCGTCCGTCTGTCTCGGGGAGAAGGACTCATCCGCCAGTGTGTCCCATAGGACCCTTGGAATGCGGTCCCAAAGACGTGTGTAAGGCGGGCGCAAAAGAAACTTGGTAGAAACCCTAGTCATGATGAAAAAGGGGGGGTTCGAGCCTCCTATCGAACGGCCGGGACCCAACCGCGGCATAATGCATGCATGCTCCAAACGCGCAGAATGCCAAGTGCAGATGGAGCAAAAATCAACCCCCAGACAAAAGCACGGAGGGGGGGAGACCAACCCGGCGGGGGATTCCCCAAAACCCCAAGGGGACCTCAAGGAAACCAAGAGTCAGCCGCAGCCACCTTTTCCGAACCGTGGCTGATATGGCCCGTCCTTGGGGCAGCCAATGCATGTGGCCTCCTGGTCGAGGCGATCAGGCTGTCGTGACGTGTTGAACAGGGGGGAAACAATGGTGAAAGATGAACCCAAAAGGAAACCCCTAACCCTCCCCGCACCGGAGACGGGGCCAAAGGCACCCAAGTCCCGGCGGGAAGGGATCACACGACTCCCGCATCCGAAAGGGCTGTGAGACAAAACCTAGCGGCTCTCTCCCTTCAGGATCGCCTCCTTTGCCACCGAGTGGATTGCCGCCAGCCCCGACTTCTCCGGGTTGCTCAGGATGACCGACCACAAGGCAGTGGAGACATCCCCCAGGCCATTCGAGGAGCTGAAGCGCATGCGGGGGGTGCTCACATCGCCCAGGACCAGCCTCTCATCCCTGGGAGGCTCCGTTGGCTCCACCCTCTTGTAGAACTCCAGCTGCTCCGGGGGCTCGTCCATCACCAGCTGCAAGCATGTGGCCTTGTCTTTGTGCCACCCCGTGATCTGGAGCAGCCTGGTCCCCCCGCGGCTCGCCTTCCAGAAGCCCTTGCAAAATCTGCACATATAGCCCCCGGTGGTCTTGAACTTCTCCTTTCTCACCACTTCCCAGGCACTGATGCTGGGCAAGACCAAGCCACATTCCACGGAGGCCCAAAACACATGCTTTGTCTCCTTGGGGAAGTGCTTGTTGATGTACTTCCGGCCCGCGACCGCCGTGACCGTGGCCGTGGTGATGGGCGGGTATCGCCTGGTGCCCTGGTCTGGTGTGCGCTTGGCCTTGGGGTCCGCCTCCTTGGCCGCTCCTCCCCCGGGGCCAGAGGCACCCAAGGGGGGGGAGCAACCCAGCTGCCGGATGAGGTCCTGGGAGTAGCCCAACCTGTCGTACAAGGCCCCCGCCGCCTCCTGCGGGACCTGCTCGACCCAGTCATGGACCACGTTGCAGCGCCAGTTGTCCTTCACCTCCACCATTGAAGACTTCCTCAGGCCCGCCACCAACTTGGTGTAGACCGAGTCGAAGGCCTTCAGCGATGCCAGCGGGAGGGTGATCCGCTCGTCGCACACCGCCCTGAAACGCAGCGCCTCCTTACTGTCATGGATGGGGGCCACTGGGATCTCCATCACGGGCAACGGGCAGTTGACGATGAAATTCTTGGCCGCCAAAAATGTCCCCATCTCCTTGAAGATGTAGCTCCATTCATGCCCAGGCTCTCCAGGAAGGGCACCGCCTCCTTCCTCATCTGGAGGATGTTGCCCATCCACTTGTCCGAGGTCGAGCCCTCCGCATTGCGGCCCCGGCGTTGCGTCTTCACGATCAACGGGAAAGTGGTCCAGGCCGAGTAGATGTACTTGAAAGTGAACCTGTGGGCGTACACTCCCGTCAGGCTCGGCAGGTCCCACGTTCTCGTCTGTCTGGTCCAAAACACCCCATCACCTTTCGCTCTTCTCCCCACCACCTGCTCCGGCGCCGGGCGCTCGCCCCGGTTCACCTGCACTCGGATCTCCAAGGCCGTGTAGATGACTGGGTCGATGTGGTCCTGCTCGCACGTGAGTGGGTGAGTCCTGCGCTCAAGGGCCAGGAGCTCCTCCGGCGTGAGCTTAAACTGCTGGTCAGCGCCCCAAAGGATCTCACCGCTTGCATGCTTCTTCCAAATCCCCCCAAACATCCGGAGCTCTCCCTGGTGCCTCTTCATCGCCCAGAGGATCAAGGACAGCTTGCCCTCCTCCGAGTCCAGGTCTTGCTGTGACATTGGCTGGTCCCCCCCGGGGCCAGTGGCACGCTTGGCGGGCGCCGGTGCTCCTCCAGCAGCGCCTCCTGGTGCCATGGGTTCTGCGACGCTCTGAGCATCCTGATGTAGGGGACATACTTCTCCTTGATGTCCCCCACCTGGGGGATGTCCTCGGGGTCATCCAGCTCCAGGGGGCAGAACAGCCCCCTCTCCAGGGCCTGCCTCAAGGGTGTCCTGGCTCCGCTTGTTCGCCGCCTGAGCCTCCTGAATGGAGCCCATCGCCTCAGCCAATGCCTGGCTGGCGTCCACGCCCTTCCCCTCCAAGTACTGGTCTCTCAGCTTGGCCTTGAACCGCTCCAGGTTGCCCTTGTTGTTGGCCACCTCCTCTGACGGCAGGGCCTGCATGCCCTCCTGGAGGGGCGCCAGGATAGCCATCTCATTGTCCAGCATCTCCTCAGTGACCAACTCCTTGTGCCGCCGCCTGGCCGAGGCCTCCTCCAGAGTCCGTGCCGTCCACCAAGTTGCGGTCGGCCTGTGCCCGGGTACCACCGGGGCCAGCGGCACCCAGGCTTCCCCATTCCCGCTGCTGGATCCAGGTCGGCTTGCCCTCCACGATGAGCAGGTTGTAAGTGATGCCATCCGCCTCGTAGGTGGCCGAGGGTGCCTGGAAGGGGACGAACCCCTTGCCTGGGCAGACCCAGCACTGCTTGGCTGCCTCTGGCCACCCCGTACCGCATGCCTTGCACATGAACTTGTAATCGGAATGGCCTGCATCGAGCCTGTGCATTCGCTGGGTGCCAATGCACGCCTTGTTCCTCTGGAACTGCGAGGCCCAGACCTCCTCCTGCCGGATCTGGATCTTCATCGGGACATAAGCCTCCAGGATGCGAATCACCAGGTCCTCCGTGAGATTCTTCCCGACAAACTTGTGGAACAAGGAGACCGCCTCCTCCACCGTGATGTCCCTTAGCAAAGTGGCCGCTGATGCCGGAAGGACTGGGAAAAGGTCTGGGAGGTCCACCAGCTTGAAATAACCGGGTCGGCCCTCAACCGGCACCAAGGAGACCGGTTTGTTAACCTGAGCCGTGGTCTTCTGGGAAGCCGCCACGAAACCCCTCAGCCTTTTCGTGGGTGGCGTCTGTGCCCGCTCCGTGACGTCCGCGTCTTCCATGTCCTTGTCATCCTCCTCGGCGGGGCCAGTGGCACCCAAGCCGGAAGTCGGTGTAGCAAAAGCCACACGGAGACGCTCCAGTGCACTGGAGAGGTCCTTCATCACATCGGTAGCCGAAGCCGACGGGGGGGCCGCGGGCTCGTCCAAAACCAAGCCGGCCGCCACTGCCGCCTCGCGTGTGCGAATTTCCTGGGCCTCCTGGCTGGCCATTTCAACCTCCTCCACGGTGAGTGTCTGGTCCTCAATCAGCTCAAAGGAAGTGGCCGAGGTTGCCGAGGAAGCCATTGCTTGATCGGGGTTAGGTTCGAAAGTGTCAAAGCACAAAGTTTTTCAAACAGATTGGGTTCCAAGAACCCAGACAATGCTTGAGCCAAAATGGCACATGCCGTTGTGGTCAAGCATTCCAAACACAGTTCATGTTTCCACATGCGTTTCAACATTAACAAATTATGATGTCACTTGTGATGGAAAAAGTGAGCCCGGTTCTATTCAGGTTCTTAGGACTGAAATGGCAGATGTCGGAAACTCTGGGCCTTCACTTGGGAGTGCTCTTGCCCTTTTTGGGGCTTCCGGCGGATTGCTTCACTTGAGGCTTTGGGAGGCATTTTGGAGCGCATTCCGCACGAAATAACGCCCCCGCCTCAAAACTGGGCTGTCCTCAGATCCCCTGCTCAAAGTCTAACTTTTACTGGTTGAGTGGAAACTACCACTGAAACTGAAACACTAGAACCCTAAGAATTTTAAGGAACCGGACGGCTGGGATTCGGCCCTCGACGAACACCCTTGCCTTGACATGATCCACCACCAGCTCGATGGTGAAGACGCGCATGGCTCTCCATGACCCACTTAGCTTTGCTTGGCTCGGTCTAGCTGCATCGCTGGGCCTAGTTCCTCTCAATGGACCAATCTTGCCACGGATTTTGGGAGTGTCCAAACAGCCGTTAAACCCCAAAAGAACAACCCGAAGATTTGATTGTTTTTTCTACTGGTTTTGAGGGTACTTCTGTTTGCTTGTTCCAAGGCAACACCAGAAGAAGGAAGACCACCATTTTGTGGGGTCCCCCCTAAAAAGACACCCATGTGTTTTCTCTTTTGTTGGGAGGCGCTTTGGTGCAAAGAACCAGGGTGCGGTTCTAAGGCTGGAACTCTGCAACACAGACTGGTTTGAAGGGCAACGGGGGAACCAACCATGTTGTCCCTAAGTTTGAGACGCAGAATTTCAGAAACAAAATGGATTCGCTTGCAGCGTCTCGTGTTCGAAGCCAATGCTGCGGAAAAGCAATGGTCGAACTGACCCAAAGGGCTCAGAGTCTCAGAGTTCCATTTGCGACGTCACCGATTTTGGGTGTGTCTGCTTTTTGGTATTTGTGGCTTTAAAAGGACGCCAGAAGGAAAACCATAAAGATACACGCCGACTTTGTATTCTGAATGAAACGGGATCGAACGTCTTACTGCTTCAGTCCGTCTCTCTGGCGCAACCGACGGGCCTTCCCGCACTCGAATCTTTCCGCGATTGAACCGGTTGGACATGGATCCCTGTGCCACCTCACACACGGCATGTTGATATCTTATTATTCTGACGGTCCCCCCAAAAAGGGTGATTTTCCTATTGATTTCCGTTTAAAACCAGCCAAAAGGGGGGATGCCATCAACCCGTGAGTCAACCGTCAACCGGCTTTGTGGCGCAGTGCAACCCGAAACCACTTCTTTTTCAGATCTGCTGAAGTTGCTGGGGTTCGAACCTCACAACTCCTGGCTTCCGTTTACCAAAAAAGGACGTTTCCAGGTACACCCAACCCCCTTTCATTTCTGACAGCTTCACGAGTTTTGCATTACAGGCACATGGACGCAAGGTGGCCGCCCCGGTCGGCACGTCTGGCTCACTTCAGCTACGAGACTTTGCCTTTGACAAATTTCTGCTTGAAGATGCAACACGCCGTGTCGAAGCAGGTCCCCTTCTCCCCAAAAAGGGTCAAAAGGCAAACCCTGCAAAAACATATATATATATATATATATGCATATATATATATATATGTATGCACACACACAACACACACACACACCAGCGTGGAGTTCTGCGCCCTTTCTGGCACCCAAGTTGATGGCTAGCCATTTGCTTTGACTCTTGCATCAGCGTCCAGCTGAATCGCTGAATCGCCGCCCGGACATATTTGGGTGTGTCGTTTTTGGGGGTACCCCTTTGGTGGTTTTGCAGCCGTCCCCAAAGGAAAACCACAATTTGTTGGGGTCGCCTAAAAAAGACACACCCCTTCTCCAAGCCTGAGAAGCTAGCTGCAAGGTCTTGGTGGTAGTAGCAAATGCTCATTTGCCACTACCAGCAAGACCTGCTGCACATAGCATCCCCACGCAAAGTTGGGGGCCGCTCAGAGCGATCCCATCTGAAGCTTGCTCACCTGAGCGCTGACAGCAATGTCTTCACACGGCTCAAATGAACCCTTAGGATACTGTGCCAGTCGTCGATCACTGAAAGCTCGGGTTGCCAATACCCAAACGTGGCAATCAAACGGCAGATTCCGCCGGTGAAGCTTGCAAAGCAGCCGAAGCCGCGCGGTTCCGCACGCAAGCGGCGCATCTCTTTGTACCTCAGCGCATCTTGTTGGCCTTCTTGGCCGGCGCGAAGATCCACCGCTCCATGTCTGCCAAGAAGCGCTCCTAAGGGAAAACAAAAGCCAAAACAAACAAAAGCCAACCAAGCAAAACCAACCAGACCAAACCAACCAAACCAAACCAACCAAACCAACCAACCCATACGCACCATGTCCAAACCCTTGGAACCTTCCAGAACCCGCTCCCGACCTCCAGCTTGGCCCCAACCCCGCTCCATTCGTTCGGACCTGCAGGCCTCCCATAGTCCCCCCCAACAGCAAGTCCCCCAGTCCGGAAACCTTCCGCAACCTTCTACCCGCTCCAGGCCCAAGAAGAAGAAAAAAAACGACGCCAAGCTTGGCCAACGCCAGACGCCAAAGCCAAAGCTGCGAAGCGAGCACAAGCGACTTCGTGCAAGACAGAACCGAAACCACAAAGAAACCCAACTTTGTAAGTTCTTGGTAACCTAGGTTCGGAGGTAATCTTGCGATTGGTGAGCTACAACACAGCTGAACTTACAAACCTGGCAAAACAAACGCCGATTCGGGTGACACAAATCTCATCCGCAGAAGGAAGATTCCCGCGAAATTCGCCAATGACACACCGGTGAACCACTTACAAACCAGGCAAACCGAACATAACAAGCAAAAACAAAATCAATCCAAACGTGCCGGGGGGGGGGGGGGGTTTTCCTGGTCGAGGTATTTCCGCAGTAAAGACCGGCGCTGCAGGTCCCCCCCGTAGAGCGCGGGGCAGCTGCTCATCTTCTCCGCGGTGTCCAGGACCTGGCGGCGAGCAGCCGTCGTCTTGAAGGGATCGTGAATTATAATGCTTCACCAGCCTCAAATAAGGTGGTTGGAGGGATATGCCCCACATAAACCACCATTTGGGATGAGGTCGTGTGAGGTCGTTTTAATTCACCCAGAGGGATACCGCCACTTGTGGCCTCCAAAAATTGGCGGTTGAAACCTCGGTCCGACAAGCATGAAGGTTACTTAGGGGGCTGGAAGGGTAGGGGCCTTAGGAAGACCCCCCCATCCTCTTGAAAAGATAAGAAAGCCGCAGCCATGCGCTTCAATCGCCCACCCTAGCCCCACATCCGCTTTTGAGCCCTCTGGGTTTGCCTTTTTTGTTTGAGGCTCAATAGCCTTTTTGGGGTTGTCAAGGGAAACCACCGAGGAAACCCACATTGTGGTCCCCATCTTTTCTTGTGACTTTGAAGGGAAATGTGTGTTTAGCTCATCCTCCATGTCCTAATTTGGACCCAACCTCACCTTGCGCCCAAAGCCATCCAAAAACCCCACATTTCTTTCAAAGCAGGTTTAATACTTCATCAATCCACGTCTTCCCTCATCTGCCTCTAATGTTGACCCCATATTGATCAAAGGGGGGTGCTTCTCCCTGCGTTTAGTGGGCAATCAGACCACTTTTGGAGAGGCCCCCACCAGTAATCAATCCCCTCCAACTAGGCCCAAAGACCACCCCCTGTTAATAACTTGCTTGATTCTCATGTCAGGTCACACAAAAAATGCGTCAGCTCTTCCACCTTCCACCTTCGACCCTCCGACCCCCCTCCCCCCCCCTCCCCTCGCCTTGTCGGCCATGGCCCAGTTGGAGGGGACCAGCTCCGAGGCCCGGGCCGGCGCGGCGTGGCACAGCACCGCCAGGCCGCAGACGGCGCGGCAGAGCGGCCGCGCGCGCTCGGAATCGGAGCGGTGCAGCGCCCCCAGCAGCGCCTCCAGGACGTTGGCCTCCTGGCGAAAGAAAATTCCCCATGGGCTGTGGTCTCAAAAATGCTTATAACCCCAAAATGCGTTTTTCATTTTTTCTGGTAAATGGAACCCATGTCTTTTTGATGACAACATCCATATCAAGAAGCCAATCATATGAGGGTACCCCGTTTTACGAAACAAGGGATGGGGCACAGAATAGACGATGGAACCTGTCCAATTCCTCTAACTTTGAGCAATACCCAATGTCTTTTTGAGGGTCCGTTTTTTGTTGGGGGTCATGGAGGGTCTTTGAGGACCCCCTACAGTAATTGTCGAACAAATCCCATGATAGGGTCCTGAGAGGTACTTGGATGTTCAACCGACTTAGTAGATTCTAACCATGATAAGGGGACGATCACCCCAGTTCCCCCAGTTGTAACCATGGTTCTAACCTCACCAAGTTGCTTGAACACCCAAGTAGAGCAAGACTTGAGAGTAGCCCCTTCATCAATACTCCTTGGGATCGTGGGTCCTTTAAAAACCCTTGTGTAAACTCTTCGGGGTCCATGTCCATCCCTATCTCCCAAGGGATGTTTTGATCATGGCTTATATAACGAGTCTTTGCGTGGCACCCTTCCCCCCCCCCCCTTGTTGGGCGCGTTCCGAATCCGCCTAAAAGTTGTCAGACTCGAAAAGGTGTCGCTTCTGATACCAGGGTCACTGGGCATCTGGCATAGCTTGATATTCAGGGGATCGTTTGAGGATCTTCAGGAATGACCCTGAGCCAACAAAAAGGAGTTACCAGAGCCGATCCCTGCTCGGTTTTTGGCCTTTGGCCTTTGGGCGCGCCTTCTTGCGCTGCCAAAGGTTATCTGCCTTGAACTCCTTGCCCCAGCCGTAGTCCTCGAGATCGGTTGGACTCCCGGGCGGTATGTCCAAATGGACGGCTCGTCTTTCTCCGAGCTTCTGAATTTTGGGGGTGGCTAAAATGGACATCAATAGGAAAACCCACCAAAAAAAAAATGGGGGGGGGGGTGAGGGGCGGGCTTGCCCTTTGAGACACACCATAACGGTTGGTGATAGGGGCCAGTTCAATTGTACATGGCCAATAGCCTCGCAGGTTGGTGCACCCAAAGGACACTCAAATCTGGGCTGTCCTCAGATCCCCAGCTAAAGGTTTAACTTTTAGTGGGGTAAATAGAAGCCCCCACTAAGCCCCAAAACGGGAACAACCAAGAATTGTGGTTTTCCACAGGAATTGCCGGGGGGAGTCGGTGTCCAAGTCGTGTTTGGCTGCTCGAATATAGGTCAATGTCTTCAAATGGGGAACCGTCAGACGTGGATCCGGGCGCGCATGTGCTTCAACGCCAAAAAGGGATCGCCTTAAAGCAAAACACCGCAGCCCCACGGGCAGCCGCCCCCCCCCCCCCCCCCGAACTTGGGACAAACTTGAAAAGGTTTGACCTCCAAAAACAAAACCCGGATCTGCACCAGTGCAGAACATGGCCTTTCAGTCCTTTCAGCCTCAGAAGCTTCTGCTTTCCAAACCAACCCCTGCCCCCAAAGCGTCGAGCGAGCGACTTTGTCTCCAAGTGTCGATCTCAATGGACAGGGCATTCCTCTTGAAGTGCTCTGCCCAGATCTCGTACTGAAGATCTTTGCCTTTCAGGTGAGTTTGCATTTAGCCCTGCCTTTCCTTGAGCCAACTTTTGTTGCTTTGGCATCCCCTTCAAAAGCGAACATGGTTTTTTCCCCAACAGCTGAAAGCTTTGGCAGCCCAGATAGGCTCCGGGGTGGTCCGGGGAGGCCCTGAGGTAAGGTTCCACGAGGGTACCACCAGGGTTCCACCATGGTTGCACGAGGGTTCCACGAGGTTCTGCGAGGGCTGCGGGGTGGTGCGAGCACTAAAAAGAGCAATGCTGTTCGGGATATCACCTGAGCTTATCTCTAAACAAAAAACTGAGCAAAAATAAGGCGCCCCTCGGGTCCAAAATTGGGGACACTGGACGCTTTTCCATCTGGTCCAACATGGATTTAGCGACCCTCTCTTTGGTTTCCTCTCCTCTAAACCCGAGCAAGTCCGCGCAGTAGTTCATGGTCTCGGTGCGGTTGGCACCTTCGCCCGTGCCCAGAGAAATGCTGAGGAGCCTCTGCAGGATCTGATTGTGCGATCCCCGGGAGCCATTGCCCTCGTAGAGATCCTCCTGCGAATCGAAGAAAACGGAATTTACAAAGAAGACGCCCCCTCAAAAAGAAAAAGCAAGTTGGCAAACAGGTAGTGAGTAGATAGGTTCGCTGGCTGGCTGACTGGTTGGTTGGTTGCGTGCAACTTCGCATCCTCGATGTCCTTCCACAGATCGTAGGGAAATGTCTTCACCCTGAGCTCCATGTCCGGCAAGCTCTGCAAGAGACAGAGCTCTTGAGGTCCCAAAAGCTTCCACCCCGCATCGTAGGTCACGTCCTCGAACCGGTCTCGCAAAAAACAAGCTGCCATGCAAAATCAAACAGGGAGGGATGCCCTACTTGAGGGTTCCCTGTGCTTCCCTCAGACAAAACGGTCGGCAAAAGGGGCCCTTTGCCGTGTGAGCTTCGGATATGTGTTCAACCTGCGTGCCATCCGTGAGTGCATTGGGTGGGCCCCTATCGTTTTGGAATTCTTTGGAAACATAAGACCCCAAAATCGGTTGTGCAGGCTTCGCTGTACTTGCTAAAGCAGGATTCGAGCAGGCAAGTGGCATTGGTAGCCCCAACTTGCGCGGTCTTGTCTCAGCTCTGGAATGCAGGGCACTCTGGCAGCTCCACTCAGATCAATTGTAGGATGCAAAGTGTACAATTTGGCAGCTCCGGAAATTGGACATTCACAGATGTGCTGACACCCTTGGCTGAGGAGCCGAGTTTCCTAAGTGGGGGTCTTCTTTTGGGGGACCGCCAAATGTGCTTCTCTTTGCCGAATTGGTTGCCCCCAAAATCACCAAGAAAGGGGTACCCTCAAAAAACATGACACTGGTGGGGCATTGGTCGAGGTACGGGCCGGGCATCGGCAGTGTTTGTGGGAGACGAGTCTCAATCCCCGCGCCATCAACGCCCGAACACTTCAAGACAAGTCGGGGGCTCAGGGCGCCCTATATTCCTGGTAAAACATCACCACCAAGGGAATCTCACCTACGGGCCGAAAAGGTGATGTTTAAAACCGCCAAAAAGGGAACATAGGTCATGTGGGTGCGATAGTTGAGAGCTTGTAAATTTGGGCGGACATCAGAAACTCATGGTTGCATTTATGTCCCCCCATCCGCCAACCATTTTGGAGGCCGTCCCCCATGACAGAGATGTGGCCAGCTAGCAAAGTGAAATCCTCATAAGACAGTTCTTCTTGTGCATGCAAATTATGCTTTCAACCGTTCCGTTGATCCTTTCATCACCAAACATAAATCAAAGACAAAGCGTCAAAGATTCTACAGACATGGAGAAGCCAAGCATCCGGGAGCTTGGCTAATACGCCTTGCCTGCGGTCATCTGCTGCTCGTATGCTGGCAACCACGCGATTCTTCAGCAACAGCGACCTTGTGTCGTTCCGTAGATCCCTCAACAGGGGCCGGAGCATGTAGTCGCAAATCTCTTGATTGCCAACGTACCTCGGGGTTGGGTTTGCAGTCGCTGTCCCAGATGCAAGCCGCAAGCCTGTTGAGTGGCCGCACTCTTCAGTACTGGAGAACCCATGACTTATCAAAACCAGTTGGACGAACCCCGGAAAGGGGAAAAGCATACCCAGAGGCGTCTTGGCGTTGCAGGCACCGTTCTGATCTGGCTTCCTGAGTCTAGCTTGAGGGTAGGGGCTTGTTTTTCAGGTTGGTTCAGGGGAATGTGCTGCGAAATTCAAATGGTAAGACATGGCTTTTTGCAGGATGCTGCTGGCAAAGACTTCACTGCAACTCCCCTTGCGCTCGATGGCACCGCCAAATGGTGGTTCTCAGCAGCATCTTGACTTCCAGCGGACAAAAACGCGGCGTGGTTTGAGGGTACATTTTGTGGGGGCAACAAAAGACTACAAATTTAAGGAACATGATGCTCGTCAAAATCAAATGGAGAAACCCTTTTTGGGCTGAAGGGAAGCAGGGTAAACCGACCATCCTTTTAGGGAGAGCTCTATTTTAAGATATGTTAAGTCACATCAATATAGCCGATTGCGTGGCGCCTGATGGTACCGTTTTTTCGTTCGTTTTATACATGGGGAACCAACCCTTTTGGGGGTCCCTTACAAAAGACACACCCAACCCCAAAACACGCACCGAGCCTCGAAAAATGACTCTCTGTGCTTGGGACTGTCTCGGAGGTTGGTCTTGGCTGCAAAAGGCCGTGCATCCCCGCATCTCTGGACTCACAATGATATCGCAGTGGACTTCGGCTTCGGAACAAGCCAAGTTGCTGGGATACACGCAATAAAAACTGTGTTTGTTACCGCTTTTTTGTCAGGGTACAGTAGCTTTTTTGACGTGGTGGTTAAGGGGAAATCAACTATTTTGGGGGTGCCCCTGGTTTGACCCATACCCACAAATACCCGCTCCATCCAGGCAGCCGGGACAGACAGGCCAAACCAAACAAATCAAGTCAAGCCAAACAAACAAAAACAAAAACAAAATGGAAGAACGACGGAAATTCAACAGAAACAAATAAATAAACAAGGAAAAAAGAACAAGATGAGCAAAGAAAGAAGAAAGAAAGAAACACAGAAGAAGAAAAAAAAAAGAAGGGAGGGAGGGAGGGAGGGAGGGAGGAAGGAAGGAAGGAAGGAAGGAAAGAAGGAAGGAAGGAAGGAAGGATGGAAGGAAGAAATAAAGAAGGGCATACGCAAAACAAACAAACAAACAAACAAACAAACAAACAAGCAAACAGAACAAAGCAAAGCAAAACAAACCCAAACCCAAACCAAACAAACAAACAACGCAAAACCAAACCAAACAAACAAACAAAAACAAGCAAGCAAAACACAAACACAACAACTCAGGCAGCCAGCACACAAACTGGCCAGATTGCGGCTGGCCAAATCGCCTTTTTGGGGTGGATGCATTCCGAGTACTGCAAGCAAACCAACCCACAATCGTTGGGCATCTTTCTGTCGGCCTGATCTCCTCCGAGGTGCTCTATGTAGATCTCACTGCTCAGCTGTTTGCAAAGCTCATCGCCTCAGGCTGTTTGGGACCTGAAATGAAAGGTCTCCCCTTTTGGGACCTTGAATTTAAAAGTGGAGCAAACCCAAAAAGGCGGAGAAAAGATCGGTTTGGCACGCTGCCTTCGTCCTCGTAGGCCTTGAATCTCTCCGCGGCCTCCCTGTCCGACGCGTGGACCCTTGAGGGGGTCTCATGCCTCCACGCATCATCCAACTCCGCACCAGTCATCTCCAGAATCGTCGCTGTGAGATTTTGGGCCAGGCCGAGCCTTTCCTCTTCCAAGGTCACCTCCTCCTCGTCTTCAGGCAACCTCCGCATCCTCGCATGGGAACTGCCAGTAAAACTCGACGCCAATGACTGCCACAGTGCTTGAGAAATCCAGCTCCCGCGTCCCAAGGGAAGCCACACTTCGGATTCGGGGGGGGGGGGGCCCTAAAATGGCGACAGCCGTTGAACCATTGCGGCCCATCCACACACACACACACCATGCCTAATCTACCTGCAAGAATTACTGTTCACCAATCTGAGCTAAGGAATCCTGTGGGACCTTTTCGTAGCAATGTTGTCCCGGTTTTGCCCTCATCGGTGGACTCGCCTTGACAGAAATGCCTCTTTCTTGGGCGGAATCGTGGTTTAAAGGGACACCTCGACCCAAATATAACTCTGAGAACCCCTCAAAATTCCAAGTCACATTAAGGGACCCCGGCTTTCCATCTTGACCATGATGGTTGTTTCGATGCTTTTGACAAGACTAGCAGCTTCGTGGCAGATTCACCACCCTGCAATATGGGGTGGGGGGTCACGGAGTCCCCCTATTCCATTGAATAGGGGAAAAAACAGGTTACCACAAATGGAGATCTCCAGGAATCGAAATCCCCTCTCCCCAAGACCCACGGGACCCGGTGGGGATGGATTTCTTTTTCTCCACGACCTTACCAAAGCGACGCCCGCCCGCGAGCCGCGAGCCGCGAGCCTCTCTCGGATGCATTGCTCGTAGTTCCGGCGCAGCTCGACTTCGGCCATAGTCTCCCTCAAGCTCGCCATCCTCTCGGCGAATTTCAGGTGGGTGGGGGGGGGTTGCTTGGGGAAACCCGAAAAAACGGGCTCAACTTGGACAAAACAGGAATGAATTTCAACGTGTTGGCCAGTACACCCACCGTCTTGTAGTTTCACCCAGAGAGCAAACCGTAAGCACGGGTTCAATCAAACTGGAAAAGTTACGCGGTCAGTGGGTCAGTTCTTTGTTCGGTCTCTTTGTCTAGCTTGGTAAAATGCTGCCATGTGGTGATGGCAATTTACAAAGACAAGAACACCCCCGAAAAAGGGGCAGAACCCCCACTGCTTGCAACTGAAGCTCCTTTCCCTCTCTTCCTCCCGCTGACGCAGCCAGTCCGCGTACTCGTCCTTCTCCCTCCTGCTGAGGCAACTGGCGCATTGCGGGGCATCCCGGTTCACCTTGTTCCTGAACTCTCCGCGCTCCTTCTTCTCCAGGCAAATCCGGCAAACCAGCCTGCTGCTCTCAAGCTCTTGCTTCTCCTTGCATGACTTGCAGACCGGAGTCTCGTGGTCCATCTTCTTGTGGTACTGGTCTCGATGAAGCCTATAACTGCAAACAGCGCAAACGATATGCAAGCTTAGCATCTCCTCGGCTTCGAAGCAGTCTTTGCACTTGCGCTTCTCAACGCTCCACTTTGCCTGCGCATTGTAAAAATCGCCCTTGGCTTTAACGCTGCAGCACTCTGAGCAAAATAGCCGACCTTTCGTCCAATCCTCCTTCTCCTTGCTGAAAGGTTGGGTAGCCGGACGCTGTGCTTGCTTTGGAAGCGGCGTTGGCTGAGCTGCCACAACTGGTTCTAGAGGCTTCTCAAAGCAGTCCTTGCATTTTCGCCGCTCCACGCTCCATTTCGCCTCGTTTTTGTAAAAATCACCTTTGGCCTTGAGGCTGCAGCACACTGAGCAGAAAAGGTGGCCTGCTTCCCAATCTTCTTGCTCTTTGTGGTGGCGAGCTGCTGGTTGCTGCAGATGCTGCACCTCCTTCGGCGGCCGCATTGCTTGCAAAGCCTGCGTCGGCTGCGCCAGCCCTGGGTAACTTGGCGCCATGTTTGCATCTACAGGTTGCTGGCCAGCATCGGACACGGTCACCTGGCCAGTCAAATGGTTGAAGCGAATCAGTCTTCCGTCTGGCTTGCGCCACTCTTGCTTGGGTTCTTTGCCTTCTTGGGCCAACCACCACAAGTTCTTCCAGTGCTTCTGTCCCACCAGGTGCCCAGCTAGCGTGCTGTGGTATTCGCGTTGGCAAACGCAACAGCTGCCCCAGTCCGCGACATCACGCAAATTCTGCTCCAAGTACATGCCGCAAGGTTCCACAAACTGCCGCCAGGCCTCCGAGGTCTCGAGGCACTCCCTGCCCATCATGGCGATGTATCATGCTGTCACTATGACGGCGTTTGTTTCTTCGCGTATTCAAAGTTTGGTGCTGCATGAGTATACGCGCTCTGCACGTTGGTCTGTGCGTAGCTCTTGTATGAGATGGTCCCGGTGGCCTTGAACCAAATGACGAGTCTTGGGACAACACACGCTCGCGTGTCCCGCAGCTGGACCCTTAAGCCAAGAGAAGTGTGAGAAACTGCAAAACAAAAGCCTTGTTTCGACTGGCCAGCAAAGCTTGGCCCAACTCTGAGCCTACACCAAGAACAGTTTTTCTGATTCTGATTCATGTGTAGCCTACCCGCAAGTGCGAAATATGACCCGGGACAAACCTACAAACACGGCCGGTCTCTGCAGCCTCTGGCCAAGCCCACAAACGCAGCGCAACTGCATGAAACCTCACAAGTTCCGCCTCTGGACAAGCCCACTGAAGATACACTTGAAGCCCGTCGCAGTGTAGCTACAGGTCATGTACAGCGGCCCCAATCCAAAACCCCCTTTTGGGATCCCGCCAATTCCATTGCCCAAAGCCCAACCTCGCGAAAAGCAGCCGCTAGGGAGAAGCCAGCACCTCCAAAAGGGGAAGCAGCACCTACTCGAAGCTAGCGGGCCGCTGCGCGCTGGCTTTTACAACGGGCAGGAGCAATCAACAGTTGCATTTTGCACGCTCCCGGGGCTCCAACACCTTGCTAAAAAAAACCTGGCTGCAACTGCAGGCGCGCCCGCAATTGCAAAATACGTTGGTGAAATTGCATTCGCTTAGGAACGCGCACGTTAAACGACAGTTGCCCGAAACAATCATGTTTAACTGATCAACCCATGGAACACACAAGCTGCAGTAAAGTTCAAAGTCAACACGAATTGCAACAACACCACTGTGAAACAAATACCTACAGTATGTACTGCAGGCAGCTTCTCAGAGCTCTCAATCCACTGATCACAGACGCACCAAGTTCATTCTCAAGTTGTTTCCTTGGATGCGGTGACAGTGTGGCATGGCATGCGTTGAGCCAACGCATTCCGACGGGCCCAAATTCCCAAAGCAAGACAGACCGTATTGAAACTCAGGTCGCGCTGAAACTTGGTCAGACCCTGCCGGCCGCTGGCGAGTCACAACCAAGACGCGAAGACTTTTCAAGGGGTTCGGTCATTCAAACACAAGTCTATTCGGGAACGCGAGGGTCTGATTGTGAGTAGGTTCACTTTCCGTTGCCCTTAAAACCCTAACCCGAAAGGTTGCGCGCGCGTGTTCGTGTTCGTGATCGTGTTCATGTTCGAGCGGGCGGGTGGGCGGGTGGGTGGGCGCGAGCGCGCGGGCGGGTGTGTGCGAGCGTTGTGCGGGGTGTACGGGGGCTTTGTGGAGTTTGGGGCGCGCCGGCGCGGGTGTGGGGGGGTGTGCGGGTGTGGGGGTGTGGGGGTGCGGGGGCGTGGGGTGTGGGGTGTGGGGGAGTGGTTTTGTGTGGGAGGAGTGCGGGTGTGTTGTGTGTGCGCCTGCGTGTGAAAGGGTGCGCGTGTGCGGGCGTGTGTGTGTGTGTGTGTGTGCGTGTGTGCGTGGGTTTTTGCGGGTTGTGTGGGGTGTGTGTGTGTGTGTAAGTGTGCGCGGTGAGGTGTTCTGCGGTTGTGTGGTGTGGCGGGGTGTGGTGTTGCGGGGTGTGGTTTTGTTTTTGCGTGTGTGTCTGTGTGTGTCTGGTGTGTGTGTGTGGGTGTTTGTGTGTCTCTGTGTGTCCGTGTGTCTGTGTCTGTGCGTCTGGTGTGTCTGTGTCCGTGTGTGTCTGTGTGAGTGTGTCTGTGTGAGTGTGTCTGCGTCTGTGTCTGCGTCTGTGTGTGTGTCTGCGTCTATGTCAGCGTCTTTGTCCGTGTCTCTGTGGGCGTGCTCGATGTGCGTGTGAATGTGTCTGTGTGCGTGTGTCGGCGCTTGTCTGTGAGTGGGTGTGCGTGTGTGGAGTGTGTATGTGTGTGTGGTGTGTGTGTGTGTGTGCGTGTGTGTGGCGAGCGTGGTGTGTGTGCGGTGTGTGTGTGTGTGTGTGTGTGTGTGTGTGTGTGTGTGTGTGTGTGTGTGTGTGTGTGTGTGTGTGTGTGTGTGTGTGTGTGTGTGTGTGTGTGTGTGTGTGTGTGTGTGTGTGTGTGTGTGTGTGTGTGTGTGTGTGTGTGTGTGTGTGTGTGTGTGTGTGTGTGTGTGTGTGTGTGTGTGTGTGTGTGTGTGTGTGTGTGTGTGTGTGTGTGTGTGTGTGTGTGTGTGTGTGGGTGTGTGTGTGTGTGTGTGTGTGTGTGTGTGTGTGTGTGTGTGTGTGTGTGTGTGTGTGTGTGTGTGTGTGTGTGTGTGTGTGTGTGTGTGTGTGTGTGTGTGTGTGTGTGTGTGTGTGTGTGTGTGTGTGTGTGTGTGTGTGTGTGTGTGTGTGTGTGTGTGTGTGTGTGTGTGTGTGTGTGTGTGTGTGTGTGTGTGTGTGTGTGTGTGTGTGTGTGTGTGTGTGTGTGTGTGTGTGTGTGTGTGTGTGTGTGTGTGTGTGTGTGTGTGTGTGTGTGTGTGTGTGTGTGTGTGTGTGTGTGTGTGTGTGTGTGTGTGTGTGTGTGTGTGTGTGTGTGTGTGTGTGTGTGTGTGTGTGTGTGTGTGTGTGTGTGTGTGTGTGTGTGTGTGTGTGTGTGTGTGTGTGTGTGTGTGTGTGGGTGTGCGTGTGCGTGTGCGTGTGCGTGTGGGTGTGCGTGTGGGTGTGCGTGTGGGTGTGGGTGTGGGTGTGGGTGTGGGTGTGGTGTGGGTGTGGGTGTGGGTGTGGGTGTGGGTGTGGGTGTGGGTGTGGGTGTGGGTGTGGGTGTGGGTGTGGGTGTGGGTGTGGGTGTGGGTGTGGGTGTGGGTGTGGGTGTGGGTGTGGGTGTGGGTGTGGGTGTGGGTGTGGGTGTGGTGGTGGGTGTGGGTGTGGGTGTGGGTGTGGGTGTGGGTGTGGGTGTGGGTGTGGGTGTGGGTGTGGGTGTGGGTGTGGGTGTGGGTGTGGGTGTGGGTGTGGGTGTGGGGGTGGGTGTGGGTGTGGGTGTGGGTGTGGGTGTGGGTGGGGGTGTGGGTGTGGGGGTGGGTGTGGGTGTGGGGGTGGGTGTGGGTGTGGGTGTGGGTGTGGGTGTGGGTGTGGGTGTGGGTGTGGGTGTGGGTGTGGGTGTGGGTGTGGGTGCGGGTGCGGGTGCGGGTGCGGGTGCGGGTGCGGGTGCGGGTGCGGGTGCGGGTGCGGGTGCGGGTGCGGGTGCGGGTGCGTGTGCGTGCGTGCGTGCGTGCGTGCGTGCGTGCGTGGGTGGGTGGGTGGGTGGGTGGGTGGGTGGGTGGGTGTGGGTGTGTGTGTGCGTGCGTGTGTGATGTGTGTGTGTGGTGCGCGTGTGCGTGCGCGTGTGCATGTGCATGTGCCTGTCTGCGTGTGCGTTTGCGTGCGCGTGCGCGCGCGTGTGTGTTGGTGTACGCGTGTGCGCGTGTGCGCGTGCGTGTGTGCGTGTGTGTGTGTGTGCGTGTGTGTGCGTGTGTGCGTGTGTGCGTGTGTGCGTTTGTGTGTGTGCGCGTGTGTACGTGTGTGCGAGTGTGTGTGTGTGTGTGCGTGTGTGTGCGTGTGTGCGTGTGTGCGTGTGTGGGTGTGTGCGTGTGCTTGTGTGCGTGTGTGCGTGTGTGCGCGTGTGCGCGTGTGCGCGTGTGCGTGTGTGCGTGTGTGCGTGTGTTCGTGTCTGCGTGTGTGCGTGTGCGTGCGCGCGTGTGTGCGTGTGTGCGTGTGTGCGTGTGCGTGTGCGGAGTGCGGAGTGCGGGCACTTGCCGGAGTGCAAGCGTGCACATGAGTCTGTTTGTGCATGTGTGTGTGTGCATGTGTGTGTGGGTGGGTGTGCGGGTGGGTGGGTGTGTGTGTGCGCGCGCGTGCGCTTGTGTGTTTGCGCACGCGCGTCTGCATGTGCGTGCACGCTCCGTGCGTTTTAATGCCTGAGCGCGAGGGTGCGCGTGCGCGGGGTGGCAGAATACCCTGCCACCAACCCCTTTTTTTCTTCTGCAGGGGGACACAGCACTTCACTGGGACTGTGTCCAACGAAGCTACCAGTGAAGTGGGATATCCAGCTTGGCCAGCTGGACGTACCTGCATCAGTGATTCTGAAAGTCTATTTGGCCCCCCTTGGTTGCGGCGCTGTTTGTGCCTCTTGTTCTTTCGGGTAACGTGTTCGCTGCTAGACGGAAGCCAAGTGACTGTGAGCCGAACCTACACCCACTCGAGACTTATCAGTTGTACTTGAGACTCATCGGTTGTACTCGAAGGATTAGCACTCTCCCTTAAGAGTTGAAGTGTGATCACCCCATCTTGGGGGAACCTCGGGTGTGCCCATCGCGTGACCCCGGGCCGGTTCGCCGGAAAATTTGACCTCAACGTTCTTATCATAGTCCAGCGGAACTTCATGTTTAAGCAGGAACGAGGTTTCACTAAAGGGAAGACAGCCACCTCTTCATAGCTACGTCTCACCCTCTCTCCTCGCCTTCGTCGTCCGCGTGTCCGTCGTCTGGCCCATCGCCCGTTTAGGGATAGCTTCTTCTTCCTCCCGGTCTCTACTATCTGGTTTCCGTGACCCGCGCGTTTGTCTTCCTTCTCTTCGCCCGCTTAGGGATGGCCTGCTTGTCCTCGCGGCATTCACCTTTTTCCTGTTCGTTGTCTTCTTGTCTGTCTACCTGTTCCTACTCCTCGTTTTCCTCGCGCAGTTTGGCTTGCCGTCTTCTTCCCCTTCCGTTGCTATTTCGCGTTCGTCCTCTTGGCCCCATTGCGGGATTCGACGCCCTCCTCTTCGAGCCTCGGTCTTCATCCTCTGTGCTGACCCGGGCGGGGTGCGACGCCCTAAAAACGCTTACTACAACCTCTCTTTCCTTTCTTTCCCCCGCCTTCCCCCCCCTCTCCCTTCCTCCTTCTTCTCTCTTTCCTCCTTTTGTTTCCTGGTCTTCTGCTTCTCCTTTCTTTCTTTTCTTCCTTTTCTCCTTTCCCCGGGCGGGC